ATTATTATTATTATTATTATTATTATTATTATTATTATTATTATTATTATTATTATTATTATTATTATTATTATTATTATTATTATTATTATTATTATTATTATTATTATTATTATTATTATTATTATTATTATTATTATTATTATTATTATTATTATTATTATTATTATTATTATTATTATTATTATTATTATTACTAATTATTACTATTATTGTTGTTGTTATTACGCAACTAAACATTTATGACCAAAAGAAAAATTATTTATGAATACCTCTGAGATATTCCCTTATTGTTAAAACAATAAGAAAAAATAAATGAACAAGTAATTTTCTTTTTGTTTTTTATTTTTTGTTTAATTTACTTAGAAATTTTCCATTCGAAAATGTTAATATAATAAATTAATGACTAAAGTTTTCAATGAAAAAGATGGAAGCTGAAATTAATTAAATGACAACTTGAAATTTCTTCAAATTGAACTGAAACAATGGACTCCATTTTCTGGTAGTTTTTAAATATGTCATATAACAAATTGAAAGATGGAAAGATCCATGGATGAATTCAGTTTTTATTGTAAACTGTTAAAGTTATCCTTGTTTATATCGGTAGCATCAATTATTTTGGTCATTTGATGAATTAAATATTTTGTGAAATCCATATGCATTAAATGCCTATAGATAGATCTTTCCGGAAACAGTTTGCAATATGAATTCAGGTTGCATCGACCAGATTATTAGCTCATCTAAAAATTATTTCATCCATAAAGTTAATGCCAAAAAAGACGGATGAATTATTCATCCATCAACATTTTTAAATAATATCTAACGGAAGATGTCAAATAAAAAAGTGATTGTGTTGAAAAGAAAAAAGATGAATGAATATTTTATTAATGAGGTAATTTAATGAATGCTTTTCATCATCCAAAACATGTACGATAGCAATTGGAATTGAATTACAAAACCAAAAAGTTCCCACAAATTTCCCTTTCATTTTCCATTTTATTATCAAAAGAAAAGGGAAAAAAATTCATTTATTTGTCATTATCGGTAAGAGGGATAAATTGGAAATAATTAATTAAGGCGGGAAGAAAACATAGAAATAATTGTTTTCAATTCTCTACAGATATTTCATATAACCTGCAAGCAACACAAATACTGATATTAATCATTGGTTTGTAATCTAAGATAAAAAAAGCTGCTATCAGCATGACTCCACGGGCATATGACACCGCGAAAGAAACTTCCACCTGGAAAAGTAAATATTCCGTGAATAATTATAATTACAAATGATGGCTGACGCATCATAATCTTTTTTCTCGCCTATTACATCAAAATGCAAGTTTCATTGTTTAGGTTAACTTAAATTAAAAATTATTTTGTGTATTTTTAAGGTTAAAGGTCAGTTTGGAATATCTATTGCCAGTAATAACATATGGGGATATTATTTTAGCCAAGAATTCATTTTAATTGCGCTGATGAATTCTCAAGTGCATTGATACAAATTTCAATCTGTTAACTAACGAATGATAATTAGTAATTGACAGATGGTACAGTGATAGTGAAGAGTTTATAGAATAATTAGTTTAATACTTGGAATTTTCAAGGTCAGAATAGAATATGCAAATTTGAAAACAACACAAAAAAACGAGAAATAACTAACATATTAAACCATTCGATAATTTATGAAAAAATAAATCAACAAAAAGTGACAGTTGAATTTTAATATAATTTCCCTAATACCTACTTTGAATTTTAATGTACTTTAAGGTATAATACTGTACGGTACAATACTTTATAATACTTTGTAATGTGATTGCATACTGACTTATATATTCTGAATTTCAAGTAGAATTACATCGAACTGGTAAAACCCGAAATCTAGATGAAATCGATTTATTTTGAATCGATCATATCTAATCCAAAAAAAACTTTTACCTTATATCGATGCATGCATCATCTAATTCGAAATACCTGACATGCTGCATGCCTACATCATCTTACTCAAGGCCAGCCTGAATTGATGGATTCCTTTTCCGGCACGATAAGCGGCATTGATAAACTGGCGCAATTGTGATTGGCGATGAAATCGCGTCGTAAAAATGCATTCCCAATGTAATAAAAATTTAAAAAAAGAGCCGTATTTGGTTTGCCATAATTATTTCTTTTCTTCAAATCCGGAAGATATAATGTGACAGGTATCTAAAAAAAAAAGAAAACGAATAAACGAATGGAGCGAGTATACAGTGAGAAATATAATGACACCATTTAAGGTATCAGAGAGTAACAACTGTAAAAAGACAATAAGTTGACAAAAGCCATAAAGCACCAGATGAAACGATGGATGGATAAAGTCGGCGGCAAAAGATTGGAATAGCGGTGACAGAGCCGCCATTCCATTTAATCCTTTTTAAATTGATATTTCCAATCAAACTTGCCATTTTGTTAAAATACGTTTCGACAAAACTTTCGCGAAAATTTCTCGAAATTTTTTCCCAATAAATTGAAATATTTAATGTTATTGATATTGATAATGGCAATAAAAAGCTTTTTTTTTCTTAAATCTGATATATTTGGATGTTTGTAAAATCCAAACAAATGGTAATATATTTGAGATCATTCCGCAAATAAAGAATAGCTAAATCAGAAAGATAAATGAATATGAGGAGGTTAGGAAGAGAAATGTATTACATTCCGGTATGAGATGATGGCTATTTGAAAAGAACAAATGAATAAGATGGTCAAGGAGAGGGGACAGGAGTGATTTGATTGAAGAAAGAGGGAGAGAAGGAATGGATCATTTTGCAAATAGGATGTCGCGCTATTTACTTTTCTTTTCCGGCGTCATAAAACCATCAAACTATGTTCAGGAAATCTACCATTCATGACTTTGTTGTCTAATTCTCTACAGAATCCAATAACTGTCAATTTTTTTCTTCTTCTTTAAATCAAATACATCATTAAAAGTCGGTAAAGATATTATGTAAATAAATTGGGTTATTTGAGTTATAGCTAAAGGAACGAACATAAAAGTGCCAACACCGTATTGTACGGGTCAGTGATAACACGACAAAAGTATCGGTTGTGAAAAGAGTGGACAAAAGGAGAAAGGAGAAAAGTGTTGGATAAGCATCAAAAGTTCGATCATTTTTCTAATTCAGTGGTCATCTTGAACTTAATCTTAAACTTATTATCCGTTTCACTGATCTTTTTTATCATCAACTATTTTCGATAATATTTATTTTTTCCAATCTTTTTTCTCTTACTCTTCCTCTTTCTCTTTCTCTCATATTCGAATTATGTTGATAATATTGCTGAAATTAGTTCAATTATTGAAATAGAAGAAAAAAACGTTATAATGAACAAGAAGCAAAATGCTAATTGTTTCTAAATTTTCCCTAAATTTTTAGAAATGAAAGAGTTTTCTAAAAGCGAAATATCAATTTTTTCAATTTTCAATCTTTCTTTTGAAATTAAACAAAGTTTTTCAATTACTTCCTGGAAAAAATTAAATTTTTTGAGACAAAAATTATAAAAACCAGCAAAACAAACTTAAAGAATAATTGAAATATATTAAAACAGAAACCAATTTTTTGGATTGAATATTAACAAATAATAACAATGACAATGATAATTAACAAACAATATTATAAATAAAGCAAAATATTTTACACAGTCGACAATGCATTGAAGAATTTCGATGATTCATGGCAAAATAATTAGTTATTATTAGGAAAACCATCGAAAGTTTATGATAATTCTCTATATATCTGAGTTCGAAACTTCTAACAATATATACTTCAAATTTGAAATGAAATGAATTATCATTAATAAATATGAAGTTTCTCATCTCGAAAGAAGTCAATGCAAATATTATTAAAAGGCAACAAATGGCGAAATTTATTTTCAGATTAATCATTGACCTAACACCCTAACATGTTATCTTATCATTGTATCCTTAAAATCGTTATTTGATAGCTCCGAAATTATATCGCAAACAAATATAGGCTAAAATTTTCTATATATATATATTAATTACAGCAAATATGCATTCATTGAATTTTTCCAGCATCCATTTTTCACTTTATCTCTTGCATATAAATTTGTTAATAAACGAATGGTCCGTATCTAATTAAAGATCAAAGATTAGCAATTACACTGAAATCTATTTAGTTATGGACAAGTTTTATATAAAATGCACTGATTTAGAATGATAAGAACCAAAATTTCAAATAAGACGGCTGAAACGAAAATTTGCAAAAGGAGATCAGTCATATGAGGCAATACTGTATTGTTAAAAAAAAAAACTGTAGTGTCTAAACTGTAATGACTGCAATATTGTAGTACTTCAAAAAAAAAAATTCCTTAAGAAAGAGGCAAGCGTTACATTGTCAAATCAAGTGTAATAAGTGGTCAAAGGTCATGATTAGAATTAAAACGCGTCGAAATACTCGCACAAGGTAAATCGCTAGCTTAATATTTTAATTTGCTGTTTTTTTTTCAAGACTAATATCACCGAGTTTTGTTATTAAAGTAAAAGTTATAAGAAGTTATTTCATTCCTAAGGTAAGTGTTGTCAATGAATGTTATCATCGTAACAGTAAGATTTTATCATCTTCAATGGAAGCAAATATCAACTAGGCCTAAGATATTGGATCTTCTTAGGTATCGAAGTGAAAGAGGTAGTTGTAAAGTAAGTGTACTTTTATTTTTACATTTTCAGTCAATGTTTTCTGAAAAATTCAAATACAAAAAATGATTTTAAAGATATAAACGATATTATGCGCAATATGATAGGAATGGCAATAAATTATAATTAGTAAGAGACAAGCAATGCAAACTTACTTGACGGCATTGTCTTGTTTTTTAATGAAAGATAATTGGAAAATATTTCTGTTTGATATTTTATTGCAATAATTCAAAATTAATTTCTTGCATAAAATTCAAAGGACATTTTCATTTGAATTTGCACTATACCAATGGCGTATGTAATCAATATAAGACGAAAATTTGAATTCTTTCTGAACTGCAAACTAATTTCATATATGAAATTCGAATCAAATGAGTTAACAAATAACTAATTGTATAAGCAAATGTTAACTTCGGCAACAATAAAAATATTAAAGGATGAACAATTAAACTTAAAAAGACAACATTTATCAACTATTATCTAAGCATTTTGAAAATAACAGAAACCCTGTCAACAAGTGGATGATACAATCCATGAATTTCTTGGTAGAAATGAATTGATTCCGCAGTGGTATGAAATATTTCATTCATTGGATATATATCACATTGAAAAAAGAAGGAATTAAATGAAAAATGATTACATATTTGGTTAATGCTTAATTACAATTCTATTGGATAGAAAGGTTCTCTGAATTTATGTGAAAAAAGAAAGTGGAAAATTTATTTTTGTGCAATTAGGAGTTGAAATTTGAATATTTCTGAAAGATGATAAGCTTTTTATTTACGTTTTCCTGAAATGATACGAAAAAAAATTTCTCAGTTAAAAAAAAAAGACTAACCTTTGGCTTATTTTAATGCTTTCTTCCGAAGGCTTTTTTCAATGGAATAAACAACCGTAGTAAAAATATCTTTTCTCGTCATATCATAAAATTCAGAAAGCTTAAAGAATCGTTTTTTCTTCTTTCTTTTTTTTTCCTCGAAAAAAAAATGAAATTTGGTAAAGAAAATCTAAAAAAAAATCATACCAAATTTCTGCTAAAATTAGATATGGAAAGTGGTAATGTTGCAATTTTTTAAAGTAATGCTTTAAAATAAACAAATTTGCAATTGCATAAACTTTCAAAAGTATTTACATTTTAACTTTGATAAGTACAATCATAGGGAAAGGACAAAATTTCTTAAAGTTAATTTGAATAATTGTTTCATTTCCTGTTTTTTAGTCTTTTGTGCAATAGTAAATGGAAGTAATTTTAAAATCCTGAAAATTTAACGGATTATTGTATTTTTTCTTTTTGTATCATACAAGTTAATACTAACTTTTTATCTTCAATTAAAATATTCAGTTTACCTTTCGAACTAATCTGTGCATCAAAGGCTAATGGTTATACAAATAGTGAACTTAAATGTTAATAAATCGCACATTCTTAGCAATGCTAATTAGACACAGAATTCGTAATTATTATATGGCTTAGGATTAAGTCCCGCGGTGTCGGAATCAGATTTCAAATATTTCCTGAATAGACTCGAAAAGATCAAGCCAATATAATTTCCCAATTTCTCATTCAATTCTATACCATTTGCTGAACTGATCCGTTGTTGAAAATGTTTTTCCCTTCATCTATTCAATAATCTTTTTTTTTTTTTTTTTAAATATATGAAGAAAAACGATAATAGCAATTGTTTACGAAGAGTGTAGTCCGAAAAGGAAAGGAAAAAAGGACGAAATCGGATTTTCACATATATGGGAAATACCGAAAAATTTAATTAAAGCAAATAATTATTTGCTAAAAATAAATTCCATTTTCTGTTTTTGCTTTTTGTTTTTTTTTTCTTTCTTAAGAAAAAAAAAATAGAAACGATGAAAGATAATGGAATAATCATTCTAACCGTTTCGTTCACATAAATCTTTTCTTACTTTTTGCTTTTTTCTTTTTCAACTATTTTACAAGAGTAATCTGGAAAGGGACGGGTATTCCGATATATGTAAACATGAAAGTGAAATATCCCAGCAAAATTAATTTCAAAAAAGAAAAAAAAAGTGATGAAAACGTTTGACAGAAGAAGCTGATTGACTTTTAAGCATCCGAAAAGAAAAAAAAAGGGATAATAATTTCAAGTAAAATATGCATGCTAACAAAAGGCTAGAAATATATTCTCCTAAATGAAATTAAAATTGTTTTAAACCAAAAATTCAATTTTTAATACACCATTTAAGCGCTTTTTCCAATTATTACACAATTGAGTGTACATAAATCAAACAATAATTACAGGTGTAATTAAGGTAGAGGAGGAAAGGGAGGTAGGGAAATGGATAAAGGTAAAAATTTCATTGCAATCAATAAAAGGAGAAAAATGAGTTCCTAAGTAATGAAAGAGAGAAATTCATTAAAATGAAAGAAGTTTTTCGAAAAATAATCAATCAAACTTATATAAATTTATAATTGGAATAGACAGAAGGAGCACAGACACACATACACAACCCACACAGACTAATTAATCTATTAAAATGAAAAGTATCAAAAAAAAAAAATCAACCAGAAGAAACATGAGATATAAGCTGGAAAAGAAATTTGAAAAAAGCATGGTGAAATTCAAAATGGAATAGAAAAAGGCGTGGATGAAATTACAGATTCGATTAGAAACGAGAGTAAAACATAAATTAGCAAAATTTTTTTCAAGAGAAAAAGACAAATGCAAATTTAGATTTGAAAATAAAAGATGAATTGAATGTTCTGATAATTGATAAATGATTTGATAATTCATTTAATGAATAAATTAATGGAATGATGCCTGCTTTGAGTGGAAGAAAAAAGAAACAGGCCTTTTTGGATTGCGTGTGTTATAATTGTTGAAAATTTCGACAAATTGATAAAAATACAATGAAATGGTTCAGTAAAAGTTGATATAAGTACAAAGAACCGATTGGAATTTCATTAATTATAATTAAAGACAAAAAGTGGAAAGCACAGAAATACTAAAAAAGTGATTTATTGAAGAAATTTTAGAAATTCTGGAATAGAAATAAAATTTTTTCTTCTGAGCAATAGAAATTGTGAATTTCAAAATTGTCATTTTCTTGTAAATTTTTGTAAACAAGTTTGTTGATATGGCTTTTACTCCGATAAAAATATTAATAAGGCATGTGTCAAGTATTTAAACCACTAATTTTTTGCATAATTTCGAAGATTTGCAATTATGATCAAAAGTGAAAAGTAATCCATTCAGACAGGTCCATCGTTATTTCGGTGAACGGTTTCCAAGCAAAGTTCAGTTAGACGGAATTTGACTGAACAAAGTTTAATTAAGCGAAACTAGGCCAAACGAAGTTTAATTGAGCGAAAGTTGGAAAAGTTTTAAACGATAATTTATCCGTACTATTACAAGTAATGATGGACGGGACGAAGAGTAAGTTATGAATTGGAATAGTAAATGGATAACAATGGTTTTATTCTTATGGTACCATCAGAATTGCCATCAAATTGTAAATAAAACCAAGTTGAATTATGATGTATTGATCTATCCATACAGTTTGCATTTATGCTAAAATTAGCATAAATGAATGTGACAGATATTACAGTTATTGTATAGGTGTACTAATGGTAGAAAGTATAACCTTCACAGTATCTTGAAGATCAGCACTTATCCAATCCTTCAATCATCTCTTATTCATACATTTTAATGGTCAATATTTGGTTATACACCTGAAATAATTGCATGCAATAATCAACAAATATGTTCAAATTTTAAAGGGATTTTACAAAATTTTTTAAACTCATAAAATGAAATTAAATTGAACTGTCAATAGGAATCTGTTGAGTAATTGAAAAAAACTTCGAATTTCCACGCTACAATTAAAACTTAATGTGTCAAATCTGATTTTATGAAAAGGAAATCCTAATTGAATTAATGAAATGTTTAAATGATAATTTCAGGAATATTACAAAGTTGAAAAAGATTTCCATTTTCAGTGGTAATCAATTTTCGAGAAAAAAATTTTATTATAATATTGGAATTATGGTATCGTTGGAGGATAATAATGGCCTGTTGTTGATGGTAAAAAAGAGAAAGATGGGTTATAAAATGTATGATAGGATGGGTAGAATATGTGATACGCATGGTACCATGATGACTAACGATCATGGTGTGTCATAAATAGCACATTTAAGGATAACCACAAGTAATGGGTTCATTTTTTTTTTACTGGGAGGTCAAGGAGAGGGCATATTTTGCATATCAATAGATGAACAATCATTATTGCTTAGCACAAGGAGCGAAATGTGATTGGAAATCAAAAAATTGGTTAAAAAACGCAAATAAATAAATAAATTTTTCTAAATTTATTTAGAAGTAACAATGATAAATGATAATTTCAAATTTATTGTTTCTAACTTCAATATATTACAATTACATTGATATCACTAAGTCGTCTACTCAGATTTTTTTTAGCTTTCATACATTTAACATTTCGTTTTCCTGAATTGCATTTATATTATTTAAATATAATATTTTTAGTGATCGATTATTTAATGTGAGAAAAGGGTCACACAATTTATTTATTTATTTATTTCTTGCTTTTCATTTTTCATAATAATTGATATTCGATCGGTCAATTATTATTCATAAATCGATTTTCGCAATTTAATTGTTCATCGATATTGATAATAAAAATGATATATTATTGAAGGGAAGGTGGAAAAGGAAAAAATTATCAGTAGTGGTAAAAGAATGTTATATGATATGGTAAATAATGATATCAGAAAAATGAAAAGAGAAAATTTAGTTAGAAATGATAGAAAAGAAGTAATGTAATGAGTTTGGAAAAAGATTATTATTTGATGGATTTTTAAATGGCTTAAAATGCAAACAAACAAATTTTTTCATGTATTATCGCAGAAATAAACTCAAACAAATAGAATAATATTATAATTTTTTCCCATTATTCTTATTAGTATACCATTTGATTAAGTATTTGCTTATTGTAATTCAACAAATAAGCAAATAAAATAAATAATTTAATGAAGACAATAATGCAATTTTATAATAATCTTTTATCAGTAGTTTTTTTTTGTTCTTGCATTTAGAGAGGAAGATGATAGTGATAATAGTTGTGATGATGATGATGAATTGAGAACTATTACGATTCACAACCACGGAGTCTTATCATTCAATGCAATCCCATAAATCTATTGGACACAATTAACGATCACAGATAGGTGTGTGTGGGATTCATTGATGGCAATTTCTATCAATAGTTCCCATCTTTCATAAAAAAGAAAAGTAAATGGCTACCTAAGATTTTTACGTCTGACTGACAATATGTAGATATTAATGGTCACTCAGAAATGAATAGAATATCTGTAAAAGTGGAACAATGGGTTATTTCAATCGATTGATAATTTCTATAATTACAATCATAATTATAATCATAAATATTCATTTAATCAATTATCGTTATTTCTTAAAAGTAATCAATTGATGAGAGGATTTTGAAAAACAGCATATGTTTGGAAAGGAAATCAGTGATAAGAAAAGCATTAATCATTATCGAAAGGGAAAATTCAAAAAAACAAAAATAAAAAAGTATTGATTTTTAAAAATTATCATTCGACCATTTTAAAGAGTGCAATATTTGTTCAGAAAACAGAAAATCGAATAGTAATTTTCATGCAAGAATTGAAAAAAATTAATATAATCTATGCTTAACCATCATTTATATTCATAAACGAACATTTTAATAATGATAACAACTATTTTTAGAGGAAATAAAAGAAGATGAAGAGGTTATATGAATTAATTAAAATTGTTTTTGTTTTAAACAACTTCCAGAAATAAATCTTACTTTTGTTTTAACAAACTATGAAGGATTAAAAGGGTTGTATGAATTACCAAATTATCAGTTTTATCAAGTATTGTGTATGAAATTACTTACAAAGAGGTTAAAAAAGATGCCAAGCACTTGAAGTGTTAGCAAAGCTAAATGAACTTTTTATTGATGAAAAGAAGGATGAAATGAAAGAGATGTTAGTCTGAACAAAGTTTTGCATTTTTTTTTCATTTTTTTTTTGTCGGCAGTATGTTAAGTGGTGATGAAAATTTGAAGAGAAGAGGAAGTGAAGTGAAATTGTGAGAATTATAAATAATACGACTGGGATTCAAACTTCTTCTGGATGAATGTCCCATTCCTTTGGGAATATCGAAATTGAAACTTTTACCATTCATTAATTATTTTTGTAAATACTAAAAAATAATAATAAAAAAAGGGATTTCGAGTAGGAAGAAAAAGATAGGAAAAATGTTAAAATTCCGGAAATATGAATGATTAAATACAAACAATGCATCTGTTTCACGTTTTGCCATTTAACAAAAGTTAATTATTCATTTGAAAAAATTTACGCAAATTTTGAATTTATTGATTTATCAAAGAGTTTTTTTGGCATATTATTCTATTTAGATTGAAACAGAAGTGACTATATAACAACTGGAATAAGATCAAAAGAAAAAATTACTAATTAAGCCAAATAATAAAATAAGGTTTAATTAATTCCATTGTTCATTGAACAGAGAACATTCAGATATGTCAAATAAATGGAGCGTTGCTTTGGGGAAAAAAGTTTAAAAAAAGGGGGAATTTGCATCAAATAACAACGATTGCCAATTCTTTTAAAGTTTTCAACGCAATTGGAATTAAAAATAAAATTACTTGTTTCAAATTCAACAGGTAATTCTCAAATTTTAGAAACTTTTTCAAAAAAAAAATCTCAAATGGGGAAGTGTAAAGAATTATTAAACGGATATTTTTGGATCGCCATCCATTGCATGGATAAACATATTGAATAAACTTTTACAGTTCATTTTTTTGTCACAAAAGGTCAAAAGGGTGTAAAGGCAGAGGTCAAAAGATCACGAAGTGCTTTATTATTGCTTGAATGACACAATTTAATTTAGAAAGAAATGAATATAGAAGAATAATTTGATGAAAAGAGAATTTTGGTCAAAAGTTCGAGAAAAATGTATTTTCTTCGGAAGATAAAAGCATTTGAGAGAAGGAAAATAGGAAGGAAGGAAGGACAAGTGCTATTATCACATTATGACATAAGCATACTGATGTGTAAACATAAGTATTAACTTAGCATAAACAAAGGAGAAGTTCACAATCGAATAAATGGACAAAAAGTGAATCCGAAGTTTGGTTTGAATTGATCATTATTATTTATCATTTACATTTTTTTCTTCCCCATATGAAAAAAGGTCATCGATTTGATGAGATGGCTATTAATTTGGTCATCATATAAGTAGCTCATCATATTGATGGCTACTATTCGGCTTTTTTTCCTACTTCTTAGCGACAATTTGGCGCCAGTTGCAATGATTGGAGAGGAAAAGCAAAATGGCTCCTGTCTGAGCCGAACCAGTAATAATAAAAATTGTGTGGATAATTTGGGAATAGTGATGATTAAGTTTGAAGAGGTTTTGCGGCTTTGGAAGATGAAAAATGGGATTGGATAGGCTTTTATATGCTTACTTGTCATTCTCTGATCAATTTTTCAGCTAACATGCGGAAATTTTACCGTAGAATATATAACACATGAAATGCATAAATGTATTTCGAAATTTATTTCTGGCAGTTACATCAGCTGAAAAGTACACGTCAAACGTCGCCATTTCACGTGAGTTACATCCTATTGTTCAGCAAACAGAGCGTTAGGAGATATTTTGTTTTTACGTCAATTTTATTTTTATATAAAAAATATAAAAAGATTTATGCAAGAAATAATTTTACATATTCAAAGAGAAAATATAATGATGATGAAATGATCGTTCAGAAATAAAAATGAACTTCTTAATCATTTTTTCCCAAAAATGCGAAATCGATATTTTGGAAATGAAGTTAAAAAAGGGCGAATTAGTTACATAAACTCATTGGGACTTTTACAATTATTACTCTATTTTTTCCAGTTTTTTTTTTTTTTTTTTTTTTTAAACAAGAATAATAGGATAAATAGAAAAAAGAAAGGATTTCGATATTTTTCATACATCATCAAAATTATTCGTTATTCATTCGTTTTTGGTTTATATTTTTTGGAAATATAACAATTTAAAGCGTAAATAATGAAATATTAATTAACCATTCAGTTCATTGGCAAATAATGCAGGAACTGATTTATTGTAGGAAAAGAAAGAATTAGCATAATCAGGAGAACTTGGAAGGAGTTTTTCTATGAGGTTAGAAAATTGGTAGAATTAGCTTAGATTAGGTTAAGGTAGGAAAAATACTCAATAATAATCTTATGCTGGTTAATTTCAGTTTTCTAAGAGAAGCATCAAAATACGAGAGCAACTATAGCAAGTTGAAAAGATTTCTAATTTAAAATTTTAAAATTTATCGAAGAATTAAATCAGGTTGAGGGAATTAAAGTCCATGGGACTATAGTAGATCGAGTCAAATTAAATGAAAAAGAAACAAACTGAAAATCATATTTGGTGGTCTTACAAAATGTGTTCATTAAAAAAGTAAGCTTAATGAGAGAATTTTGATTGGATGGAGAGATACGGAGCCCAATTTTCTTGCAAGTTTATCATTTAAAACTTTGATTTAAGCTATTATATCAGAAGAAGAGTATTATGGTAGTTAAACAACCTACCTGAAAAACATATTTGTAATGAATAACTGATATGTTGAATGGAAGAACCAATCATTTTTCAACCATAAAAAAAATTAGATTTAAATCCATTTAATGATTCATTGATCGCGCAAAAAGAAAATCCAGCGATTATTCATTTCCTTGTCATATTAAAGTATAATTAGTTATTACACCAGTATTGATATAAGTTCATATCAACAAAGTAAAGTAAATAAGACAAACAAAATTTAGGAAGAGATTAGTGGTCAGATAATTTTTCTGACCGTAGGTTTCTTTCCATTTTTTATAATTTCATTTGAATTAAATTCATTAATAGCTTATAAAAAGGTACCTTTTTTTTTTACATATTTCCATTTTTCAAGTTCAGATTTTCTTATAGTATGATATGAATAATTGCCTAACGTTAAACTTTTGCTTGATGATGACCACGACTTACTTTACTTATTCTACAATACTTACTTTACTTAATTACTTCGTTTTAATTGACGAACTCTATTGCTCCTAATTTCAATACCCTGCGCGAAATAAATATGTATATTGAATGGCGACTGAAACTAAACGAAAAGTGAGAATTAACATCAATTAATCACTTTCCTAATTGAATAATGAATCATTTCATTTCTAATTAAGTTTGGGAGCAGACATAGAAATTCATCACCGTATTATTCGAACTAGACTTTCACATTTTTGTGACCAAAATTGTTACTTCGTATAATCAGGATTAAAATTTTGAAATTTAACAAAAATTGCTCTTAAACTTTCGTTCGTTCTTTTTCTCTGTTTCAAACATATTTTGTATCGAATTTGACCAAATTTTGTAAATTCTCTGAGACTTTTAATAAAATATTTTATTTTGTGAGAAATTTCTTGGGTAAAAATGAAAAAGTGAGGAAAAACGAAAGATAGCTACAAGTCAAATAAGAGTAATTCTTAAATTTGAATTTAAAGTGCTAATGGCACGCCAAAACGTGAATTTCCCTGTAAATTTTGACTATTTACTGATTCTTGGAACAAATATTAAATATTAGATGAAAGAAATGGAACTGATAACTAACAGGTCAGATATTCGAAATCCTTAAATTCAAAATAAACAGTTTTATTGCAAACATTAAACGGCACACCTTTACGTAGGTTCCACTTTATTTTTGATGATTTACATTCAGCGCCAAGAAGTGTCGTTAATGTATACAATTCATCATTGTATGATAATTAGTTGGTGCCATGGCTGAGACGAAAAAGGATAACCGACGATAGGTATCCCATTAACAGGAAAAGGTAATGATGGCAAAGGGATCAGAAAAGAAACATTCAACCGTATGAACGTATATACCCATCGTTGGTAATTCCAATCCCCTGGAAAATAGCCTCAATTTTTGGTTTGGATTGTTAATTATTGTTTAACTTTTAATTACGTCGGCATCATTCGTTTGAGGGATGGGCGAATAATTCCGGAAAAATGTCAACAATATTGTTAGACTTTTTCATGACAATTTTAAATGCATCCAACCGCTACTATTAATAATAGTACACATTCATCAT